TATCTTCGGATTCAAAAAAATTCTCCGAATCCATCGATACCCTTCTCATCTTCGTACGACTTTAATCGGTAGAGATATAAATTAAAAACTGCGTAAACGTTAATTTCCGCGCTCATTTTTCCCAGTGGCAACAATAAACTATCGGCGACACACACTTTAGCCGCTTATATATATAACTAGAAAGCCCGGCGGTCATACGAAATGACCGCTGTTCTAGATATTATAAATTGTAATTAAAATGATTTGTGCAAAGATTATTTTCTGCTAATTCAAACTGAGTTACCCAGGGCAGGCGGTTAGGACGACCCTTTGCTTTTTTTCAATTTGCGTCTTAAATTGCAATTTAAATTGCATTACGCGTCTAGAAAATTTAAGCTATTTTTTGCTTTGCCAACTTGCGTTCGGTTGTAAACCAATTCAAAAACAGATGATTGCTAATGCAAACAAATGTTCACATTCCCCCTGACACGCTCAATTTGTATGGAGCTGAAAATTCAGTTTAAAATACAATGTCGGAATAAAATCGGGCAAAATTTAAACTCTTTACGCGAAAGGATATTTAGCATAGGAGTTTGGGTAAACCTATCTGATGAGATGTACTACGCACAACTCGCTAGTTGGTTTCTCTCCTTTAATTTCTCAACGTTTGCAAGTTTCTAGGTAATTCATATGTAAATATAGTTAAATGTAGAAAAGCAACAATTGTATGAATTAAAAATATTTAAATGTTCTTAAATACCATCATAATTTAATTAAAACAATGATAACTGCATGTATGGTATCAGTGTATATGGACTATTTGAATGCCGTGGCAATTCCCCCCCCCCAGTATAGTTACGCAAGCAACTGTGATGCTTCTTTGGCGATATGAAGCAACTCCAATGATGGAACACAGCAATAACTTTTATTTAACACTCAAAATGGCGACATACCAAACAAGAAGAGAAAACATATTCTATCATTTAAAAATAAATTACATTCTTCGTGCGAGAGTCGCACGAGGCACTCGAGTCTGGTTTCAAATATTGCCATTCCCAAATACCTTAATGTTCATCTATTTAAATTATTTAAACTACAAGATTTTAATATTTTTTAAATCTGTTACAACCTCTCCCCCAACGGAGAGACTTTTTACCGAAGGGAAAAGTTCTGTAAAATTTCGAAAGTTTATAAGCTCGGCTTGCTCAATTGCTTAAAGAGAAAAGATAACTTCTCTCATAAGTTTCCAAATTTTCAGGCCGAAAATTTTAAGTTTTAAACAAATATTTTTACACCACATTTAAATAGGAAGAAAATGGACAGTGTTCAAATTAGTCTTCTTTTTTTTTTCCTTGACGGCGCCTAGATCTCTTCCATGGTGGACCAGTTCCTCGGCTATAATTCACAGCAAAGCCTTTCCTCAGTTCATCTGTGCCTTTCGGATAATATTCATTTGTCATTTGCTTTCGACAATTGTTTTCTTCGTCTATTAGTAGCGGCTTTGATATTAAATCAAAAGCCGAAAGATGATGATAACGCTGCATTGCAAAATGATTCTCAATATTAATTTCTTTATCGTTTTTCAAATTTTCGTGAACTTCTTCCACGTTTAATTCCGGTGATTTAACTTCCTCTTCAAATACATCTCTGGATGCTTTATTTTCTTTCTTCATCGGTTCCAAGATCTGCTCTTCAGCTATTTTTATTTTCCTTTGAGCTCTAGTAGAGACGGCATTAACCTGGTGAGGATGCCTATTAGGTTCCTTTCTTTGTTTATTCAACAGTGCAAAAGTTCGATTGCCTAATAAATACCTTCCTTTGTCGAGTTCATTTCTAATAATGGCAGCCTTAGTTATTACTCGCCCAAGATCGCAATTTAGTTCGATCTCAGCCAATGGTAAACAGGTTGGATTCAAATCTAATGGCTGTTGCACCCACACATTTTCACCTGTCAGCATTTCCGGCGTGATGTATTTGCGACAAACTATATCAATACTAGCACCTGAATCCCTTAATATAGGAATTTTATGACCATTTACGTAACCCATACTAGTATAAGGTAATAGAAATTTATCCTCTGGTTTTGCACTAATTCTGTTAAGATTAGCAGGAGATTCAGTACTATTCTTAAGTTTTGGACATTGGGGTCTTAAATGTTGATAGGACCCACACACTGATAGCATTGTGGCGTTTTTCGTTTTTCATATTTATCATCTGGACGTGGACTTCTAGGTCTATGAAACCAGCTTTGCGAATTAAATCCTGATGACAATTTTTTTTTTCAGTTTTATTTTTATTATCTGAACTCAATTTACCTTGAGTTAGTGCATTGTATCTTTCTTTCTGCCGATCCACTACAGGCCTTTTTTGAAAGTTTCCGCAAACGTTTTCATAGGCATCAAGTTTTTCAGCTAATTTTTTAGATGAAATCATCTCTACCCATTCATCAAGAAAATGATCTCGAATTTCAGGAGGAACTCGACGTTTAAGTTGGTCAATCACCATCAAATCTAGCAACTGATCAAAAGTCTTAACTCCTAGACCAGTCACCCATTCTTTGCAATAATTTTCTATTTCATAATTGAAATCCACCCATGTGGATTCGGTACTCTTTTGATGTTTCATAAATTTCTGCCTAAACTTTTCCGGGCTTAGTTTAAACCGTCTTAACAATAAATTTTTCACGTGTTCATAGTCTTTAGCTTTATCGGAGGGTTCTCTAGCTATTAACTGGGTTACTTCGTAAGGAAGTAGTCCTAGTAAATGAGATACAAATTCTTCTTTATCAATTTTAGCCCATTCTGCTTGCCTTTCAAACAATAGCAAATATAGACTGATATCTCCTTTCTTGTCATCGAATTTCTGCATAAGGTGACGCAGCTCCGTTTTCGGCCGGATCTGTCCGGTATTTTGAGACTTTGTCTCTGCTTCAAGTCTTAATCTCTCTAATTCATACTGTTCGTTCCTTCTCCGCTCTTCTGCTTCTTCCTGTCTCCTACGTTCTTCTCTTTCCTCCCTCGCTTTCCTTTCTTATCTTTCCCTTTCCTCCCTCTCTTTCCTTTCTTCTCTTTCCCTTTCCTCCCTTTCTTTCCGTTCTTCTATTATTGTGTCTAAAACTCCTCTGACGAAGACTTCATCATAATCTCTACTTTCAACAATTTTCTGTTTTAAATCAACTATTTTCAAATCTGCAGTCACATGAACTCCCAGTTCAGCTGCGAGATTTTGCAAATCTTCCTTACGAGCTCTTCCTAAGTAAGACATTGTTTCTATGTTTAAAATTAACGAACACTGTGTTCCTTATATTTCCTCAAAATAGCTCAAAAATGAAATATTTAAATTATATGAAGTTCATTCTCTCTACCACATTAATTGTGATTAAAATAAGAATAATAACATAGAGCAATATATATATCTACCGTATGGACAACTAAAATGAATATTAAATATAATATCAAATACGGTAATAAAATAAGACAATTTATTATTAACAGGAAGTAATAATCTGGTATCACTAATATTGCGTTCAATGATGAACTAATAAAATAAAGCAATTCAATATTAACAGGAGGTAATAATCTGGTATCATTAATATTATGTTCAATGATGAACTAATAAAATAAAAATACGCACGATTATTCGATCTCGGTCAGTGCCTCCAAAATAATTATGACTGTGATGCTTCTTTGGCGATATGAAGCAACTCCAATGATGGAACACAGCAATAACTTTTATTTAACACTCAAAAATGGCGACATAGAAACAAGAAGAGAAAACATATTCTATCATTTAAAAATAAATTACATTCTTCGTGCGAGAGTCGCACGAGGCACTCGAGTCTGGTTTCAAATATTGCCATTCCCAAATACCTTAATGTTCATCTATTTAAATTATTTAAACTACAAGATTTTAATATTTTTTAAATCTGTTACGCAACCAATAAACTATCGGCGACAAACAGACACTTAAATCGCATATATATGGGGTGAAGTAACATCATCTCTTTCGAAACGGCTGGCTCCCGGGCTTAGCGAAGCACACCGTTGGATTCCGCTGGTCCGTGGCACGCCACTTTAACCATTCGTGTCTCTGTGGAACTTTAATTAGCCGAGATACTAATTAAAAACTAATTTCCCCTACGTTTTCCCTACATTTTCCACTTTCTTTCTTGGGTTTTCCCTATTAGAGGGATTTGGCTACGTGCCAAATCCTTTCCTCTCGAATATCTACGGAACGGCGCCGAGTTGAAATTCGAGACGCGTATCCTCGGATTCCAAAAAAATCTCCGAATCCATCGATACCGTTCTCATCTTCGTACGACTTTAATCGGCCGAGATACTAATTAAAAACTATGGAAACATTAATTTCAGCGCTCAGTTTTCCGAGTGGCAACAATAAACTATCGGCGACAGCCACTTAAGCCGCTTATATATATATAAAGAAGATATAGTAAGTATGTATGAATTTTTGGGGGATTTTTTTCACGAACCCGTTTTTACGAGCACTTAGTTATAACGAGCAAATATCGCGCTTCCTTCGCTCGTTATAACCGAGTTCGACTGTATTTTGGTGATTTTGCTGTTGAATCGAGTTTTATGTGGTGTAAACGCCAAGAACGTGATATTTAATAAATAAAATAAACTCACAAAACGTTAATAATAAAAGGAAAGAAAAGTTTTGTAAAGCCATCTTAATAAGAAAGCACCTTAGTAAGAATGATTAATATTAATTTGCACATGAGTTAATATTGCATTATTTAGATTGTGATCATTAAATAATCTTTCGACGTACAGATCGCGTAAAGATTGTAGGTTCCGTTGGTGCTATTTTTTTTTTTTTTTTTTCTTTTTTTTTCCAACATATTCATTGTGATATTAATGTTATTTACAGTATATCGCTAAAAGATCGACTGATGTCATAGCCGAACTTTGAGCTCAGTTCATGATCTAGAATAAAGATACCGAGTGTTGCACCATTTATGTCAGATATATTTAAGTCAAATTCATATTTTCATTTTTCAGTTGCTAACGACAACGAAGAATTTAACGGATTCTTGTTTTTATTTTCGAAACTCTTTAAAAATAAGGCAATTTTAAAATTTCTATTTATTTGCTTGCTTTTTTTTTTTTTTTTAAACTTATTTGCTTGCAAATAAGAATTATATCATAAATTTTACATTTAGCTGGTGCTAATGGATTGGAAGATACCGCATTTATAGCATAAAGAGAGCATTTCATAGCACAAAACAGTCATAAGTAAGTTTATTAACTGTAGTTTATGTGTAGTTGTTATTATTAGTGGTAGCAGTATAATAAAAATAAGTAATTATTTTTTAGATATAAAGTGTAAATGCAATATTACTAAGCAATTACTTAGGAGTACCGAATAAGTAACTAATTTTTTAGATAAAATATAAACGTAACATAAATATAAATGTACTATCTCGGAAACTTCATTACAAATTTATTATTATTCATTGTGATTTTATTATTGTTCTCATCATATCACTTATTATTTTCACTTCTAAAATTCGGTTCTTTGGGGTAAAAGCAGGCCTTGAATCTTGGACGGAAAAAGTCTTGCTGCCATATCACTTGCAGAAAATATTTGCAGATGTGTGCACATGATGCAATTAAAAATAAATTTAACTATGTCTTAAATAATTCAATCTGTTCTTAATTAAATATTTGCAAACGCTTCTATGTAGCATTAATTTATGTTATTAATATCATAGCATTTATTAATATTAAAGCATCATAGAACATTTATCGTCATTTTTTGTGATACTCTAAACTTCTGCATAAAAAAATTAAATAAAACTTTAAAAAAATCGAATTTCCGTAGAATTGAACTACTTCTTCCCTCTCCCACAATGGCTTGTATACCCTCCATAAATTTTATCACAGTAAAAAAGTTATTGAAAAAAATGCATTGAGTTCTTGAAGTTTTAAAAGAAAATGGATATCTATTTCTTATAAACTATGAAACCGGAACATTATGAAAAAATTTTACTGTTTTACACAGCATTTTCCTGTAACAGTTCAATGAATTTTTCCTTATCTAAGTAAACCAAAAAACTCCCCAAGACTGTAAATAATTTGAAAAATATTTACAAATTATTAATGTAAATATTATTATTTATTAATACTATTTACAAATTATTAATAAAATATAATAATTATAATAATTAATAATAATTATTATTATTTATTATATATAAAAAATTAATAAATAATTATAATTAATATAATAATAAATTAAAATTAGAAAGGATGCTGACCCAGCTGCTTCTAGATTTGCATGTAAAAATGCAACAATGAATTCACTTAATTAAAATACCGTTAAAATTGCATTATAGTTATTTTTCATGTTTTCATTAAATTTCTATGGAGCATTTGATAATCATTTAACAAATTATTGTATTTTAGTTACTCAAATATAGTTCACTTTAAACTGTACGTTTGTTTTTGAAATATATTGCGTGTTTTTCATTTAAAACTTCTAAAAGTAAAACAAAGCATTAATTTTGTAAATTATTAATATTTTAAATGTGTATGTCACTTTCCATGCTACTGTATTTATCATTTCAACAACATAATTTTACTAATGCTTTGTATGAGTGAGCGCATTTTTCAAAAATTAAAAAAGTTATCTTATTCTCATGAATAGAAAGAATTAAGTTCTTATTAGAATATTAGAATTGAGATCTTTGAAATATTTCACAGTTTACAAATTAAGCTCCTGTTTTTTACTATAAAATATTTCATTACTCATATGTTTTGATAATTTTGTTTTGAATTAATAAAAAAAATCTGAAAAATCATATGAACATTTTTAAATATTCGTACTATGTTGCATAGAGGGCGACTGGATACTATTTTATAAATTAAATTGTTCTAGGCAAATAATTACGACATTCGTAATGAATTTTTTTTCCTTTCACATAATCCATTAGATTAAAATGAATGACTCAAAATGAACGAATTAATCTAAGATTCTCTACAAAACTTGACGAAAATGCATAAATGATGTTATTGTTTCTGTCTTGAGGAGAAATCCATTGAGATGGACTTGATCCGATAATCTTCCACTCCCTCTGCTCCTACTATCAACCCCTCGAAAGTACTTTTGGCTCCACATCTTTATCGTCAGACGTAGTATTTTTTAATACAGTTTCTTCCGCTTTATGAAATATTTCAAGATTTTATGCAAGACAGAAATTTGAGGACGCTGACATAGTTGTTCCTTAATTGTATTTTCCGCAAATATGGTTCTTTTCATAGCCATTCAAAAGTAAAATTACAGGAAAATCTTTAGCCTTCACGTTACTTAACTTCTAACAACCTGACACCTCGTATTGATTACACTGAAGGAAGTCTATCTCAAGGGATCTTTGTTTGATGTATACGGCTATTATCCTCGATATAAAAACACATTCTGCTTGATACATATTAGTTTGCCATTCCATTTAAAAACCTTTTTATGGGTTTTGCCGTACTGAGCCAAGAGATGATCCTCTAAATTCGGTAATTATCCTGCTCTATTTTATCAAACAGGTGTTTGTATGTTTTATTTACATCGCTTTCAAAATAGTAATATTTTTGTAGTGTTTGCAAGGGGAAATAAATGGTATTAATAATAACAAATATTTTTTTTTCGAAATTAGATTTTTGTGGCTAATTAAATAATATAAAAGTATAAGACCTCTGAAAATTTTTGCATTATTTGACAATAATTTACCAAATCTACCTGAGCTAAAAATCGCATTTTTAAGTCTTCTTTTAAGCTACTTTATTAGGGGATAAAAGATTAGGTGCCTAATAATTACAGTAATGTCCTTCTATAACGCTGCTTTCATTTCACAGTTTCCAATATAACACAAAAGAACCATACTTAAGAAACGTGATTTCGGAATAACCCTCACAGCAACATAGCATTCAGCCCATTTAACCGTGTAATAATCAGGTGATCCGAAATTTATTGCGTAAACAAACTCAAATTTTGGGGCAAAAAAGTAAATAATTTAATAAAAATTATATTTCAGAAAATTTACAATTTATGGTATCGATTATCTCACAACTGCTCAAAATGACGAAGGAAGGTTTTAACAGGATTTTATTATGTGAATTTTTAGTTAAAATTACATCTACCAAACATGGTTGCATGTGGATTCTAAAAATCTAAAGGACTGTTTTCGAATTCTTACTCTTCAAGATCAGTATTATACTGACTAAAGTATAATACTGATTTGAAATAGATCCTAAATAGAAAAAAAAAAAAAAAAAAAGGGAAAATATTCTGTGACATTCATGACAATAATGCTTCTTTATTATTCTTTATCTTTACTAAAAGTTACTTCAAATGTGAATAGTTTTTTGGATTTTTAGACCTGAAAACGGGTGTTTTTTAACTGTGCGGCTGCCTGAAACCGGTTGTATAGAAACGGTTTTACAGAAACTATGGAACGTTCATAGCAATGTTAAAAAATATAACATTTATAGGTGAAAATTTATGGATATTTATTGATGAATCCTACAAGGAGACTTTTCGCATACATCACAGAAATAATATTTTAGGTGATCTTCAAGTAAATACTAGAGAATAATGACGATCGCCCTTAGTATTATTAGATACTGCACGTAAAGTTTTGTCAGAGGGAACATAATTAAAAAGCTTTGCATGATAATATATCCTCCTCCAAGATTTTAGATTTTTATACCAGCTGAATTATCAGACATTGAATACTCGTCCAAAGCAAAGTCTGCACATATTTATTGACTATGAGCTATACTGTAATCATTCTGTATATATGTATATAATACAATAAAAAGTGCGTTTGATTTCGAATGATTTTGCTTGGTTCATGATGACGACCCGAAAGTCAACCAAAATCTATTTGTTCTTTTGTGCTTTTCCGTTTTACAATAAAATTTGTAAGTTTTATTTTATTTTATTTTGTCAAGTTTATTTTTTAACTTACATATTTAATATATATGTACTTTCAAGGATATTAATGTATTACATTATATTATTTCAAATCATGATCTAAATTTCGGATACAACATTATGTATTTCAACTTATATCAAAGCCTGCCTTTCTAAAATGCTCATTTAAAAAAAAAAAAAAAAAAAAAAAAAAAGTTTTTATTTACTTTAAATACTTAAGATTATGCTGATTATTGTCATTTTTTTAACTTTACACATTTCAATATATATTTACTTATAAATACAAATTAAAAATAAGAAATTGTGTTAATAAAAAATCTGTACCTATTCACGCACATAAGATTTTAAAATTTAAGAATAAGTTGTCATTTTAATAATGATGTTGTTTTGTTAATTAATGCAAGAAGAGTTTGAAAGAAAATTTTATGCATTGAAGTTTCATATTTTGGGCAGAGAGCATCAAAGAAGCCCTTTAATAATTTTTTCACTATAATTTGATAAATTTTAGAAAACGAGGCAATAAAAGTATGTCATAAAATTTATTTCCTCCAGACTAATGTTTCGCAATATTTTTTTCACTTGCAACATTTTCATTATTAACTTTTCTGAAAAGAACAGATCTGTTTCATGTTTACATTTTGTTATAAATTTATATTTTAATTATCACATTTTTATTACAATTTTACAATATTTGTATTCAAATCCTATGTTTAGTTCCCTTTTTTCTTAAATATATTCAAGATATAATTGGTATCTTCTGCTTTGCGATACGATAGTTGACCTTTTTTTCATGTTACTTTTCTTCAGTCTTATTAAAAATAATCTATCTTCAGATAATGACAAGATCTATTTTTTTTTTTTTTTTTTTTTTTTTTTTTTTTTTTTTTTTTCCCGTTTTACATCGTTGCTTCTTTCTTTATATTTAATGTATTTCTGTTTTGCCACTTTTGCAGAGGACTGAAGAAGAACTAGCAATCTTTTTTTAGGTGAAAATTTGTCAAACAAAATTTTCTTAATTATTTTAAAAAAAAACTTTTTAATTAGTTATGGGATAGGTCATAGGCTGTGAAGTTGCGTAAATAAACTTAAATTTACACACCCAGACACAGAGCATCAAGTCTTAATTTTCCTTTTCAGCAGCAACTTTCCTATATCATCAACAAAGATGGGGTCAAAATATCACGAGATCATGAAAACGAAGTCTTTTCTGCCTTTCCGCATGCATTATATCACAGATGAGATGAAAGAACGAGCTCGGAAAGAACTTGGGGAAACAGAGGAAGTTAAACAGAATGCCTTAGCAGAAATGAAGAAGTTGGTTGAAGGTAAGTTTTTACTCACACTGTTTAGGAAGGCACCGTTGGTATAAGACACTGTTATTAGGACATCCTTCTGTGGACATTATGTTGCAAAGCCTAATATGGTTATATGAAAGCACGAGTAATAATGAATGCACAACATGAGAATAACAACATAAAATAAAATAATAACAAAAAAATTTTAAAAAATCTGAAATGTTTCAGATTTTAAATTACGCCCCTTTGGACGTTGCAACCCCCCAGGGTTGCGCTTGAGACGGTCGAACTATATTCTGCTGTTTCAAATGTAAACAAATATGTCCGCCATGTTATTCAAAATTTAAGGCTTAACCGCACCTAAACAGCTTTTAAATTGTTGATAATTGTACAAATATTGCTTGCAGATTTACTAAAGGCATAAAAACCTTAACCGGAAGATAAGAACAACATAATTCACTCATTTTTAAAGCAAAAAAATGTACAATTTACAAACATAGTATAAGAGTAAAGAAACTAAGATCACTGAGTGGATATGTACGGTTTGGTGCGGCCGATTGCAACCAAATTAGGAGGTGCACATCTACATGTTATAGCAGTCCTATATACAAAATTTCAACGTTCTGAGGCTACTTGTTTTTGAGTTATGCGAGATACGTACGTACATACGTTCGTACAGACGTACATTGTTAAATTGCATTCGATAGCTGTCAAAATGGATATTTTCGTTGAAATATGCTGCCTGAAACTTTTCGCGATTACAATACTTCTTTTTTATTTCGTACAAGGAAGTAAAAAAAAGAAAAAGGGAGGGAAGAAAATGAATGATGGCTACCGAAAAGTCTAATTCATTTGCATATTAACAACATCGAATAAAATCTATAGCGCTTACTTTTTTGTTATTACAGCGGAACCGAATTTTGTCTGCCGAAATGAAGATGCCTATTTGTTGCAGTATCTCAGAGCAAGAAAGTTCAACGTAAAGAAAGCATTCACATTATTGCAGAATACATTTCTAACGAAGAAGGCTTATCCTGAAGTCTACGACGAACTCGACATTGAGTCACTAAGAAAAGCGTTCAAAACATTAGGTTCGACGTGTTTACCATACAGAGACGAAGAAGGGTGCGTTATTTTGCTTCTGCAGTTTGGTAAGAAGAATTGATATTATTATATTCTAGATATTTTTTGATAATATTCCTGATTTTTTATGACATTTCAACGTATGTTAATTTACTTACACTGCAAAATTCAAAAGGCTGTTTAACAACACAAAACTAATTCAGATATCCTCTATTAATTTTCCCAGTTGAAAATTAATTATTCAGTGGTTTTCAACTGAGTCACCACCAGTCTCAGTGTATTTGGCCACACGATCGATCTACCTACTTAAAACATTTCACACTTGGTGCTTCTTGGTTTATCTAGCTGCTACTAAACAGTTCGGGGAATGTCATTTTAACCTTCATTGTATTTTTCATTGTTAGGTAAGCAAAATCTCCTGCAACTACTAAAATTTACTTCTCAATTCCAAATTATAATCAAAAAGAAAAAAGAAGACATCTTATTCTCATATGATCTAAAGTGCATCGAATTTCATTTACTTGTAACTCTATTTATTAGACTAATTGGGAAATATTACTGACTTTGCTACAACACGAGCACTTTTTCTTTTGTAGGGGAATTGTAAGGGTAAGTTTGCATGCGTTCCTATTATTTAGTTTTTAAGAGCGATCTTAATGTACGTATAGCTTTAAATGTTGAGCCCAGCAGCGGCCGAGCGGTAAAGTCGCTGAACACTGGTAGTTTAGGGGATCGAATTTCGGCGAACGGGCTGGCTTCATGGACGTTTCGTGGTTTTTCCAATATATAATGTGTATACGAGCCGGTTTTCGTCAGAACGTCCTCCATGAAGCATCCCCTCTTTAGACAGATAGCCCTCGTGTGCTTTGCCGTAATCAAATAAATCAAATCACCTTTAAATATTGAGATATCAGTAAGATATCTAGGAAGAATAAACAAAATATCCCACTTATGAGAGTCTGAGAATAGTACAAATTTCCATTATGCTCATGGTGCACAAAACTGTGTCCATTTTATTAAATGGGGGAAAATATGGATATCCTAGGTTTTATAGCCGTCACTGAACTTCGAACCTAAATACTAAGCAGATGATTTCGGAGTAGAGAAGAGGATCGCGTGAAAATTTTGCATGAAAATTTGTATGCAAAGGTTTTTAATATTTCATTTGATCTTCTCCTACGAGACATATGTAAATAATCGATATTATTAGATGTACTTTTACGGAGTGTTGAAACTATATTCGTAAAATTCCTTGTTATTTTAAGAAAAGTTTTAAATGAAAGAACTCAATGTTTGATGATATATAGCCTGTAGCTATCTTTTTCAAACATCTCTTGTATATTTATTCTTTCCGATCTTATCCATTAAATTATGCTAATCACCTTATACTGCTGCTACCATTTCATTACATGTTTGGGTTACATTTTGAAATATAACAGCATCACTCGAAATAACCTAGGTGGATACCTTGGCCAAGGGTGGTTCTGACTTCCCTTAAACACATTCTGTTATTGAATTTGCTGTTGTTAAAAGATCTGTTAAGTCCAGCATAAAAAAACCATACATAGACGTTTCGAGAATTAGCAGTGATTAGCCCTGTGTTTCCTTATTGGGAAATCCAGTTCCTCATAACTTATCTATAATTATAGGAGAGGCGAATTTTCGTTTTAAACCCGGCCATGACTATGAAAACATCTTCATCGTATGTTATGTGACTGATTTCAGGGCCTTTTCTTTAACCCTGTGCGGATTTATGTATGCACTTGTTGTGGCACTTGACTGAGATTGACTGGCAACTTCTCTACATTTTCACTAATCTTAATGACGTTTCAGATAACTAATCTGCAGAAGATATTAACTTTTACTTATTTGTAGGTTTCGCTAGGCGCGCAACATAAACTAACTCTAAAAAGCTCAAGTTTGGTGTATGTTTTTATTTAATGTGTAGCACATTGAAAATACAGTTATTAATGTATTCCATCAAGGGGATAAATATTTTTAAACTGTTAAAAGAAAGAGTATTTGTAATTAATTTTGTTGCAAAGAGTATGGATATATGCAAGGTCACGACTGCGATATGCAAAAAATGCCATAATGAATTATTTCAATGTTACCAGTATTTCCATAAACTTGTTTTATATCTAACGAAACTGAGGATAGTTGAAGTATAAGATAAAATTGATTCTAATAAATAAATCAAGATGCATAAGGCAATAGATATTATGTAAATTTTCTATTCAGAGTGTAAGTTTTACAGGAATCATCTTCCGAAAACTTTTGTACTAAGAAATGCTTACATTTCTAGAGAAAATTCGAAAACTATTAAATTCTGGATGTATAAAAAATAAGGGATAATTTGACTTAAAAAACACATGAGAAATCTCATGTATTTTTTAAATGCTCTGTTTCGCCTGAGATAAAATCTTATTTAATTTAATATGTAAGTGGGGGATTTTGTATGTAAGGTATATTTGCAATATTATTTATCTTGCAGTGTTCAGAAATGAATTTACATGAAATATCCCTCATTAGGAAAATGGGACACAGAAGTATTTAACATACAAACAGTCCTCAATCTGATGACAGCAACCGTGATGTTCAGCATTGAAGATCCCGCCACCCAAATATGTGGAGTTCGAATCATGCTTGACGTACGAGGGTCAAATCTAAGGCACATTCGATTGTTGACACCAAGATATATACATCTCTTTTCCAAAGCTTTGAGAGTAAGTCCCTGTAATGCGCTACTGTACTGTTTGCTTATAGTTAAAAATAACATGCAGTTTATTTTGCACGTAAATGCATTCTAATACAAAGGCCAATACAAAGTTTATGATAACGCATTTATATGATCTGATTTATTGATTAAAAGGCAGAACTTTTCTTTGTAAAATGAAATGATATTTAAAGCTGTGATGTCTATAATTCGGTTAGGATTTGAAGTCAACAATTTTAAAGCGATATAAAAATGTATTTTTTTTACGTTCCTTTAATATTTATTTCTGATTATATTTCATCTGGTTAAAACTGTCTGACTGTGAGGCTAAATTATTAGAATATTTAATTTTCTCTTTAATTTATATTTTCTATTTGTTTTTAAACAATTTAGTTACCTTAAACATAAATATTTTAATTTTGTTTCAAAATTGTTTACCGTTAGTTTCTTATTTCATTAATTTCATAATTTATAGAGATTTTTAAAATATTTCCCCTTATTTCTAACGAACAGTGTGACTAATTTAAAAGAATATTTAATATTTTTAATCAATAATTTATTTTTCCTAGACTTTTTTATTTACACTTACCTTACATAAATATTTTTATTATTTTAACATAAGTTTTTTTATTTTTGTGTTTGTTTTGTTTCAGAATTGTTTACCCGTTCGGTTTAAAGGAATTCATATATATAACGAGTCTGCAATTTTCCAATACGTCTGGTCCGTGTTGAAAATTTTTCTCTCGGAAAAAATCAAAAGAAGGGTAAGTATATGTTTTAATGTTAAAATTAACCATATTTAAGTTTTTATTAAATCTAAGATGAAGATCATTTGAAAGGATTCAAGAACCATTTATTTACATTTTAATTTCAATTTTATTTTCAGTAAATTTGTAATCATATAGATAATTTAACATCATGAAATGTTTTTTTAAATAATTCAGGTCTTCTTTAAAAGAGATAATAAATCTATCAGAGAATTTAACTTCGGTACAGGAATAGGCAGGATTAAAGTAGTTTTTAAGAGGGATTATCATGGGAATGTAAAATACTTTTTACAATAGATGGCGCTTGATTTCGGGAAAATGAGTACAGTCTGATAAATCCTGGTTATTATATTAATTAATAATTACAGTTAAACAGGGATTGCAAGTACAATTGGACAGGAAATAAATAGCGATGCGGCCTTAAAAGGCTATCAAATTATTTGGGATAACATTTTAGTTAATATTAGCACTATACTGTGATTAAGAAAACGACTAGAATAGGTGTGATAAGATATGTATGATAAGACAACAACTGAATATGATAAGATAACAACTGAATATGATAAGATAACAACTAGAATAGTTAAGGCAACAAACTGCTTGAGAAATATGGTTTTATAGCTTGTAATTCTTTTAAAAGATAATTGTTTAATTCAAATAAAAAAACTAACTTTATGAATGCTGAAATATGCATATTTATGGTTTTATTTGCATGCTCCAGGCGAGAATTAAATACTGCTTGGTTATAATTTGGCTGGCCTGATTAATCCTTTCACAGTTACGAGTTAACTATTCTTTAGAGTTAGGAATTAAGCAAAATCATATTAAGGTATTAAGACTACAAACTGAATAAACGTATTTCAAGTCTCTCTTCCAAATTTAAAAAAAAAAAAAAATACTGTGAAGTCATTTTAAGCCATCACTTGGATGACACGACATTCTGCTAATTGGCTATAAGTAAATTTCGCCCTAAGTGCGGGGTTCAAGCCAAAGATTAGTTTTTGATCTTCTAGGCAAATGTCCACGCATTTCACTCCGGGCAAATTCTGCTACAAAGATATTTCTCTCTCCTTTATTGAACATGTAAAAGCATTCATCGATTAGGCGAAAAGCAATCTTAGTTTGGCGTTAATTTTGAACAAAACTCTTATTGATTTCGAGACGCATACCCCTTTTCTTCAGGAGCAAAAATTTTTTAATTATTTTTTTTTATTAGTTTTAAATTTTACGTTGGCGTGCTTTTTCTTCCATACTCATATAAAAGAAATTTTTCAATAACCTAAAAAGAGAAGAGGGAAAAAAAGAACAGAAAAAAAAAAGGGACTGTTGAATTCGTAAATGGACACAATTAGAACTAGAGAATAACTTTAAGATTATTAAAATTGAAAAATAAAAATTTATCGCGACTAGAAATCTAAGAAAAATTTCAGGAGGAAAAAGATGCGATAGTATCTTAAAAGCGGATCGCTTAAATCACGCATCAAAGAAAAATATTTAAATAATAATAATGATAAATCTGAAGGCTTTCAGATTTTATATTACGCCCAGCGTTTTTTTTTTTTTTTTTTTTTTTTTTTAGGAACACATAGACGTTTCGAAAAGAGCATTTAGCCTAACACGCTTTTAGTCTAAAAATATTTTAAAACAACATAGCTTTAGAATTTCTGATAGACAGTCTCACCCGCTGGTGGTAAAAATGTTTAATTCTGTACAGTGTTGCCAATGCTCGCTTTGAAATCGTTCAGTTTTTTAAGCAAAATTTCGTAAGGTTTTAGAAAATATGAAACAGAAAATAAAATAAATTTAAAATTCAGACTTCCAGGGGCCCATATCCTGGTGGAGGACAACGTTATTCAGAATTTGATGGCTTTAGGTACGGTTGCTTTTTCACAGTGCGAGAAATATATTTCATGTAGATTCTTCAAATTAAATTTTTTTAATATAATATAGGGCGATAATATTTGGTGACAACAATTTGAAAAGTGATTTAGCGCTTTTAGTGATTCAACTCAAAATGACATTTCGAGAATAATAGCCTTTCTGGGCTAACGCGTCTTTGAGCTAAAAGAACTGAAAGGGAAATAATGCAAAATTTTTTCGAAATATTTTGATGCGGAATTTACCTATGGAAGTGGTAATTCATGCTAGGAAATCTGACATCTCCACGTAGGCTTTTAACGCACACATTTAAAAATTTCCAAATACCTTAGTTACTCATATATACAAACAAAGCTATTTTCTCTTTCCTCTCTAAAGGCAAACTTCCGCATGCTATTGTTGCAATTTTGATTTCACTACTGCTCATTTATTATTCGACATTTTGCTGAAATTTTTATTTTATGTACAGTCTTGCATTTTTTATTGTGTTACTTTTATACCTTTGGAAAAAAAAAAAATTTAGTTCTCGAAATCTACCCATCTGACAGGTTTGTAAGAATCCATTTCCCGCTCATGCAAGCTGATACGTATTCTCGGTACATCTAATATAACGCTTACAATTTAAAATTTGAAATTTAGCTCTGTTTTTAGGTTTCCTTTGAATTTTTTTTTAATACTGGACATCCAGACTGTCCTATTTTTCTCTGTTTTAACTGAAATTTTATTAACTGCATCAGCTTAGTAAGAGGCTCACTGAAAAAAAAGGAAAAAACAGAAGATATAAGACTATTTTTATTTCAAATTCTAGATGTAAGTTGAATCCAAGGTTATTTTGAAACAAAGCAAAAATTACATGTGAGTAGATAAAATAGTTTCTTCTAGCTCTAAATAAGGGTTTCTTAAACTTTTTTTCAGTTGCGACCCCCTTTTATCACTGAGATTTTTTCACGATCCCCCAGGACCCTTTACAAAAATTTTGTAAGATCCTATAAGTATTGCTCAAATCCGACACACGCGTGAGTGAAACTGTCAATTTTTTCACTTGTACTGTAATATACTATTGCAGTTTTAGGTCATTAACTTCACTCTAAATCTCGCAGGGTGAGATTTGGAGGGTGACAGCAGTTTTCGCTCCGTTTTCGTGTCAAGCAAAGCAAATTTACTGTCTTGGTAGCAGAACATGTTTCCCACTTGCAATAATAACCTTGGGGAAGGGAGTGAATTGAAGGAGCAGGACGACCCCCTGTCTTGCCCAACGACTTCTTATAACAGTATATTATCTCGTTGGTCTTGCCATTGTCCACCCAGATTGACCAAACAAGTTTGCTAAGTCAAAGAACGTTCTTTGGCTAAGCGCCATTTCAAGCGAGGACAGTTGTAACAATGGATACAGCTCCTTTGCCAAAAGTAAGTTCGCTTTTAAAATATATATACAATTATTTCTTAATATAAATATCTTAATTATTATAAATTATAGTTAGATTTATGTGTCAAAATTTAAGTATGTAATAAAAAGTAGTTTTAGTTTGCTCTTTTTTTTTAGGTGTCTGTAAATTTGCTTTAAGAGTGTAATGCTGTAACGTAGTTTTATTTATTACGTACTGCTAACACAATGAAAGCTGTACGTATGGATGGTACTTTTTGTAAATAATTCTTAACATTATTTTTATTTTTGAACAATTTACGCAAAGCTATCGAATTTAATTATTTAAATTTAGTTTTGCATGCATTCCTATTTCAAATAGGAAGAACAGCGGTGGAAAAAAAAAATGCATACTAAAGTTTTGATTTTTTTTATAACACAAGTGTGTAAATTATTTGGTAGTATTGGAAGAAATAAAAACCGTATACTTTACTGAATTTCCTATTGAAGTCATATCGTTTTCAGCTTCTAGTAGTTTTTAATAGATTTTTAACTTTCATTTTTTATAAATTCTGCTTATAGTTTGTGACAATAAAATTCACTTACTGTTGCAAAGCTGAATTTTTCCAAAATATAAATACTAGCACTACCTGGGTCATATCAGCATTCTAAAACTTATATTTTTGCAAATATGTTGTTATTCTCGAGAACATTCAAAAGTCCGGGAGGCCAATAAAGCTGATAAGACGGCTTTCCGTTTACGATTTAAAAAAAATCTTGCATTCTTTAAAAAAGACTGAAAGCTTCAGATTTTAAATTACGTCCAAAGGGGCGTTTTTTTAACATTTTGTGTGTTACCTTTATTTATTAAATATCATGTTCTTCGCACTTAAACCATAAAAACATTCAACAGCAATATCGCAAAATAATTTTAAAATGAACATATCTTTAGAATTTCCAATACAGAGTCTCGCGAGCTGGAGGTATATATATATATATATATATATATTTTTTTTTTTTTTTTTTTTTTTTTTTTTACTCGTACAGTCTTGCCATTGCTCGCTTTGAAATCGTTTACTTTGTTAATCAAAAATTCGTTGAAGTATTACAAAATATTAAATAATAAAGCAAATAATAAAACCAATTTCAAATTCAAATTAGGGCTTCCACATGCCCATATTCTATGGAAGATTACCTTATTCAAATTTTGTTGGCTCTAGGTACCGTTGTTTTATTACAATGCGAGAAACATACATACATTCATGCAGATTCTTCATTATTTAATTTCTTTAAATATAATGTTTGGTGGCAGCAATTTGAAATGAAACATATCGGGAATCGCAAAATGCAAAATGCCAAAACGAAATTAACAGTCCTTCTGGGAGAATTGCCCCTTTGGACTAAAAAAAAAACCCAGCTATTTAAAAAAAAAAAAAAGTTTTGATTTTCTGATGACAAACTGAAAACTATTGTTGTATTATTAAATGTTTTCCAGGTTCTACTCTGTTTTTTAATTTAAAAACTATACCGAGTCCGGATTTTTTGAAAATTCCAGATATTCAGTTGACTTTATATGCTATATACATGTATTTATTTTATGCTAAATATGTATTTACTGACAAATATACGTATATGCCAATATATAATATGTACACCAAATGTTTATTTCTTTTAATGCAAATAAGAAAATTAAAAAAACAGTATTTATTTTTAAAAAATGTAAGGCATGTTTTTTTCAGACTTAATTAAATAGTAA